TATTATGTTTCTCTTAAGTTTTGATTACCCAAGTGAGTGTTCGAGAAAACTTGAACTTGGCGTAGGGAGCATCTTACTATAGTATACAGAACAAAATGTGGGCGGAGCTTCGAAAATTTGGGTTTTTCTATGGAAAACACGCAAAATAGAGTCATTAGAAATGGATGGGAAGTGACAAAAAGAGGAAAAAGAGTGCTAATTGGATAGTAATTAGTTTTGACGGAAGAAAATTCACTTCCGCTGAAACTATAAAATTCAAAAGTGTTAGAAATGTTTGAAAAGTTAAAACCTGTAGCTAGCACGGTTGCTGTAAAAGATATCAAAAAGCTGTCAACTGATAAAACGTTTATCATAATATCAGTAACATTTTATCAGTTGATCAGTTTCCGATACTCTTTTAGAAAACGAGATAATTGAGCATTGTTAAAGGAAATACAGTATTCAGAAACACTGCAAATGTTCTGAAAACGCAAAAAAAATCCGGCATCTTTGAAAATTCGGATTAGGTGCAGTGGAATTTTCAAAGAGTACTAATCTGAACACCGGGGTTCGAACCCCTGAGGAACGAACATATTTTTTTTTAATTTTTGAATTTTTGACAAATTATTTTCTGATAATTATTCTTAATTATCTTCTTTTAATTACCTTATCATGTCGATTTTTCGACGTAAATGCCCTATCTACGAATCCAATGGGCGGTTGTACTTCTTGTTGATCATAAGTCGCAACTCTCGAATATTCACAATTTCGTGTCCGCATTCAAGTTACTTTAATTAACAAATTAAGTGATGAAGAGGGTAATTAAGAAATTTAGAAGGAATTATGATTTTTTTTAAATTAGTGAAAAGGGGATGTTGATTTTTGTATTGCTTTAGTTAAGACTTGTGATAGAATGGCTCCCATAACTCGGTTCCTGTCAGAGATACCAAAAAGTTGTCAACTGATAAAATGTTTGTTATATTATCACCGACATGTTATCAGTGAACTAATTTTTGATTGCTCCCATAGGAACCGTGATAATTGAGCTCAAAGTGCAAATGGGGTTACGCAATCAGATGGCAGCGAGCAATTTAAGCTCAATTATCTCGGCTCTTTTGAGAAATATAAAAAAGTGGTCAACTGATAAAATGTTTAACATAATAACAGCTACATTTTATTAATAGACGTATTTTTGATATCTTTTATAGAAGCCAAGATAATTGAGCTCAAAGTTGACAGTGTTGGGGCATTCCAAAGTGAGAAAATTTTTTTTCGGAAGCTGAAAAAAATGATTCAAAAGCTGGAATTTGGAATCCTAAAACTGGGAACAAAACAAAAAAGAACACACCCTTCCATTTTTTTTTCAATGGGATTTTACCATACTTGTGAAATTTCGGCCCGGCCCGGCCCGCCCGGCCCGGCGGCCCGGCAGAAAAAAAACAAAATTTTTCAAAAATGAATTTAAACAGCCGCCATGAATTTATTGATTTTTAGAATGTATTGAAAAATAACTCGAAGAAAAAAAACACTGAATACTTTTTTTCGAAACAATGATTCAACTTTTCGCTCAAGATTTTGAAGTTCGCGGTAAACTCGG